ATATATAAGATTTATAATTTTTGTACTTTGTTACCATTATCAGCATTACATAAGAAAAGATGGGTTTTGCACGTTTTTTGCCTATAATTTTACGTTTCTTTATTATACAAGTAAATTAAGCTTTGTTGTTATGCAAACATAGGTTATAGTCCGTTAGGGAGGTTCTTATGCATTGTTCTTTGATCGTGTTCCGAGCGACAGTAAGTATTTAGACTGGTGAATGGATCAGTAAAAACAGGTCTGGCATTGATCGACAATTTATTTTTGAAATAGCTGAGTAGGGTAGCAACGGCAGTTAATTAACGGATTACACTCAGTGGTACAAAAACGGCAAATGTTTTTATATTTTGCTTGAATATTTTTCGTGTTTTTTCTTTTGATTGTGGATAATGAGAAAAGGATGACTTGATGACTTGGTCTTTATTCCTGACTTTGGTTTTGGTTGGTTCTCATTTTACTCATTTTGGTTACTAAAATTTTAATGGCATTTTTAGCTTGTGTCGTGTACTTCAGTTGTGCTTTTCCATACAATATTATATGTTTGTTATATGCTGATAACTATGCGTCTATATGATGCCTTGGTAAATATTGCTTTTTTTTTTTTTTTTTGACTACAACAACAAGAACGGCACTCCGCAGTCGTCATCAGTATCAATACCAAAACTTCTCCAATTAATTTTTCGTTTGCTCACCAGAAAGATTTTTATGTACCATACTCTCCAGCGTTGCTGTGTTAATTTGTTTTATACCTTATTCTCTGCTCCATTACTTCTGACAGCTTTTTCCACTCAATGGTTAAATTAGCATTCTGATTTTTCTGTGGTGCGTGTGCGTTCTGGTACTTGTGCTGTTTTGGCTGAAGGTGTAATGCCCGCTTTTCCTCGAAAAATTGTTAATTGGAAGTGGCTGTTTCAGATTGACACTCTGAATTCACCGTTCATAATCTGGCTTTCGTATGACTCAGCAAAAAGGTTAGCTATTGATGCGTTTTGTTTAGGATCAGCTTGAGTGTCATAACCTGGCTTTTTACGCTTGTTAAATGCTTAGAGACACCGGAACGATTCTTTTGTGTATATTTTTGTTTGAGAACTGAATTACGTATAACATTAGTCAGCCATATTCGTAGAAAAGGAGAGATATTATTAAGTTCAGATTTATACGGTCAGTGTTTACCAAATAATACTTTGTTTTGTGGTACAGAACCATAGAAATGATGGGTCATGATGCTGACGTGTGACTTTTTTCTCATAAACAGAGAGGGTTTGTTAATAATCGCCTAATTTTGTTGATCAAATGCAAGCTACACGACTTCGGCTTGCTTTTAACCTCTTCCATTTTCTGTCCCAGGGCTTAATTATTAGTTTATTTATGAGCGGGTTTAAGTACTTGTTTATTACGAAATATTTTTTTCAGTTACCGTAGTATTTACAAATTAGTTGAAAATAGTATAATTTAGACTTGTTTTCTGTTTAAAAGCTTTCCTATTTTTCTGATGGCATATTTCGTCTAGTAAAGCGTATTTCTTTATTTTTTGCGCAAATTACGGTTTTTGATGATTGGGCAAAAAAGATGTCTTCTTCTCTTTCAAATTATAGCTTTTTCTTCATTTTTTGATTTTTTTAGTGTAAACTTTTCGTCTCGAAATGTATTGGGGAGCCGATAGATGAGTAAATCTGGTTAAATGTTTTACCAATTGGTTGAAGGATTAAACTCTGGTGTGTCAGAAGTTGCACAAAAGAAAATGAGCAGCGTTCGGGACCCACTTCTGGTTGTTGACGCTGGCATGGGGAAGGTATTTTTTATGGCCACATAAAAAGCTGATTTACTTTCTTATTTCTGGTGCTTTGCTTTTTTTGGCAATTTATTGCAGTTTCGTGTGAAAGAGTTTCTATAATTTCTTTAGTTTTGAAGTTTTTCTTGCTAAATTACTCTACATTAGTCAAATCTGTGGAATTATTTGGTTGGGGATTTTTTAACATATAGTTTTTAGGATCGGAGAAGATTTTTGATAGTTTCTGTGTTCGACTTATGTTTGATCACTATATTGTGGTTGATATGTACGGTAGGTTGTTGCTCTTGTTGAAATTAATAAAAGTTGTCAGCTTTTCAATTTTGTTTTAATATTTATATGCCAGCTTAGGAAAAAATTAGGATTTTTTTCTCTTAGGTCACTAAAGGAAGCGACTGGCCGTCCATTTTCTTTCAAGAGATAAACATATTTGAACCGCAGTTTTTGAAGGTCTCAATGTTCGATATTGTTGTGAGTTTTGGTGGTGGACTTTGACTTGCTTTTGCCTATAAAATACTCCATTTTCATTTTTATTTTTACTTTTACTTTCTACTTTTTATTGTTTCTTATTTTTTATTTTTTATTGTTCTGAAGGCAGTTTTTTTTTTTTTTAGATAATAGCTGTATTGCGGGTTTTCATTCTTGCTTTTTGCTATGCCCTTCTATTAGTAGACCACTGGATCCCAGTTGCTCTTACAACTCTAATTACGACTGTGTTTTTGGTTGTCAAGGTTAGATTTGTTAATTTAGAGTAGAAATACACACAATGTTTTAATTGTTTCGGATTATTTAAATGTTCTACGATCACATTTTGTCTACTGATCTGTAGGCTGAAGTTTTAGGTGCTATTTTTCTTTTCTCACAATCCAAGTGGCCTTCCTCAATACTTGATGGTTATAAGTTCGTTAATAACAGCCTGGTTTGAATTATGGTTAGTGCCATTCCGGGTTTTGCCCCGGGAACGCCGCCAGCTAATTGTTCCGATCGAAACTCCATCTAATATTGAGCCAGCTAGGGGGAGGGTTATGACTGATGACGAATTTCGTTCTGCAATGGAATTTTCCTCTGGTTCATTATTTATATTTAACTAACAATGCAGCAATATAAATTGTTTTAAAGAGAACTCGCTTGAGAGTTACCATCTGACGGGTTTGGGTTTTTAATGTGTTTCTATTGGATTTAACTGCTGCAATTCCCGTTTAGGTTCCGACTCGGAAGATGAAAAAGTTCCCAGGCTTTCAAGCGGTCAGGTCTATTCGGAAGCGCAGTATATTGAAGCTGTCGAGGAGGCTAAAAAAGCTGTTACTGAAGCAGTAAACGACGTGCAGAATTGGAAAGTTATTTCAACGTAAGATTTTCAAACTTTTAGAGGTGTAGGCTTATTAGGCTTGTAAATTTTATCTGTCACAACGGACAAAATAGGTGTTTTTTTGACTTGGTCTTTAGTTCCTGATTTCCGCAAATTTTTAGTGCATTCAACGTAACATACTATGTTGCTCAAACATTTGCTGTTCGATTTAAAATACTTTTTAAGTTTTTAGGAACAAAGCTGAAATTCGTTTTTGTGAAAAAAAACGACTCTACTATCTTAGATTTGAAACAAGGTGCTCTCCGCAACAGCTTTTCAAAGCTGTTTGGAAAGATAACGTTCTGTGGAACAAGCAAGTGTCAGAGTTCAGGGTACTTGTAATTCATTGTTTGGGCTCTTAGAGGCAGGCGTGTTTTTGATTTATCATTAGGAAAGAAGATCACTGAACAAGGTTCAGCTCAGCGACTAAATTTCATGTCGACCCAAATGTTCTTGGTTTATTATGAGCTTCTACGTTTAGGTTATTATGCATATCGATCAGTCAACCGAACTGTGTCACACGATTACTGTTCCCGCACTGCGTCGCTATATTGCGCCGAGGTTGGTTTTTAGAGGGGTTTTGAGAAAGGAAAGGAGATTGCTTATTTTATTTTGGGTACTTTGTGCCTCTGAGCATTCTTGCTACTCTGGTAATAAAATTAGTATTGATTTTAATAACATAAGAAACCTAGTAATGTTAATGCGACGAGATTTTCAGAGATTTTCTTGACGTACGTCGTTGTTACTGTTACCCGGACAGAGGGCTGTTTGAGGGTTTTTTGGTATCTGTAGATTCTTCAATACTTCCTGCAAATTCTAACAGGAAAGTGGTTCGAGGCTTCAATGGTCCTAGCATGATGAGAGTCTCAAAGTCAGAAGTTGACCATTCAGTTTCAGTATACGAGTGGGTCATGAGTACAGATTTAAAAGTAGGTTTGATTTTGTCTTCTAATGTTTACTACTTTTTTATGCTGTGATCATTTAGGGCGATATTCCTCGTCGTCTCGTTGAAAGAGGGACTGGTTCCTTCCTTGTAGAATATGCTGGAAACTTGTACAATTATATAAACGACAATATGTTGGAATCCGTGTAACCTCATGAGTTTTAAACATTTTCTAAGCTGACCCGTAGCTCTTACTATTTATCATTCTTCAACCTCTAACAGTGTACTCTGAATGTGTATGAATATATTTTCGTTTCGTTCATGAATCTCCAGTTGTGGGAGTTGACTTTTCCAGCTTTCATTGAGCAGTCACAACCTTTCAGCTTTGAATAAATAACTAATGACTTTACAGGCTCAAAAGACGGTAATTTTTATAAGGGGCTGGATTCTTCTTGTTTCGTCTTTTTTTTCTACTTTGTGGAATGTAAATATCGCCTCTGTAAGCTGGAATTTGTTCTACAGCATTCCCAAGGCATTTTTAATACGTTGTGTAGTCTGCATATTTGCTACTTTGTTTAAGATTTATTATTAGATTTCTTTAAGTTCTTCACATGCTTTGGTACATATCAATATTGAGCAAACGGAGGAGGAGGATACGGTCGTGGAGTGCACCCTCTTGGAAGTGTTGGATTAGTGAATACAACCCGTGAGGATTTCCTGAAATGGTTTAGTCAATTTGTGCGTGTCAATGATTAGCAACAGCTTTTTCACTTTTTGCCTCTTATTTTCGATTCAAAAACAAGTGCTTTTGGATTTCTTCAAAACCGTAAGATACCTCCCGCGCTACATCTCAATTTTGAACTGTATTTGGAAATCTGGCAAGTCCGCAAAAAGTCGGCATCATTGTGTTAAAAAGTTCTCTTACATAATTCTTTTTGTTGGTGTTTATTGTGACGTTTTTTCCTTACTGCTGAATCACAGTTGTTAAATAAAACTTGTGTGACTTTCTACAGTTGTATTTTGTAGAGGGATTTGCTGTACACTATTATGGTTTTATATGAGTGTGATTTTCTTCATATACTTGCAAGTAACTTTAACAGGGTATAAAATGTCTTACCCTCTTCTGCAACAGCAAACTGCAGTAACAACTGCCATCAAGATTGCTGAGAAACCACAAAGAGCAAGAGGTCCTATGACGAACCACACTGAAAGCATTTAGGTGTAGAGGGCCTCACGTGAAAGTTTGCATCTATTTATGATTCTGAAGCACAAATGGATGAAGGAAAGTTCAGAATATTTGCAAAGCTTATTACTGCTGCCTCCGTCGGAGTCTTCTGTTTTCTTGTCTCCAATGAAATATTCGTCTTTAACATCATTATAATCATTGGCAAATGCGGGTTCAGTGGTCGTAGATTTTGCTCTTCCAGGGGTTGTTGGTAGTTTTGGACTTAGCTGAAACTGCTTTATTTGCTGTACAAGCATCACTGTAATTTGTTTGTAAAAAATGCTTGTTCTTGTAATGATCTGAACTAGAATATTAAGCAGCTGCTTAGGAGATACTGCGTTTGGTACTTTACGGATTGGAATTACAAAGGTTTATTGCAATTATCACCTCTTCGGTGATCCAATTGTGCATTATAAATGGCGTTTCATCGTCAATTTCCGGTTTGGTTTTCTCCTTGGTCATGGTCGTGCTTAAAGTTGTAGTGGTTGTTTCGACGGTCGCAGGAGGCTCTAGAAAGTTTGGCTCACAAAAGAACATTAAAAATGTAGAAAGCAAACGTGAGACGAAATAAAAGCAAAAATTTTATTGAGATAAGGAAAAGTTTTGCAAAAGTAACCTGATGAAGTGCTTATCTTGAGACAGTGTAAACCATTGCCGTAATAACCTTCGTTGCAAATACACTGAGGTCCATCCGGTCCTCCTTCCATACATTTTGCATTTGCCGAACAACGTTCTTTGAATCGCTTGTGACAACCGTCCAGTTCTGAAAGGAAAAAGGTAAAATAGGACATCTCAGCAGATTGCTTCTGTACCTTACAAATACGGATAATGTACCACTCAAGTAATACCATAGATCGCTAGTTACTAAACATCTGTTCGAAAAAAGCAGTAAGAAGAAACAAACAATTTTACCTTTACATAAGTAACCATCTCCAATGTAAGGATCTTTACATTTGCATCGAAAAGACCCGGGTTCGTTGATACAGTCAGCATTTGGGGAGCATTTGTGACTTTCGGTAAGGCACTCATCAATATCTGTAAATATCAAAGAGATGAGGGACAGCTAAAATTGAACTTTTACGTCTCTTTTTAGGAAGTCAATATAGCCAAATAAAACTGTCTCTGTTAATATGTCATATTAAAATTATATTTATTTTCATATATCGACCTAAAACACGAGTTTTCTGGAACTATGTGACTGTAAACACCAGGAAAAATATTAAAAAAATAAGTCTTTTCCAAACTTGTTTCTCGTTAAAAACTTTCAAAAGTACAAAAATAACCAACCTTGGAAACAATTTGTCCCTGACCAACCTTTTGCACACTGCCCATTAGAACAGAATCCTGTTCCAAAGTCACATGGAATATCATTTTTACAGTGACATTTATTTTCGCAATCAAAGCCCCAAGTACCGGCGTCACATCCTACAAAGGCCAGATTTAAATTCATTGTTAATTTTCGGTTACTAAAGTAGTTGTTTTTCATCTAAGTGAAATTTGCCTTCTAAGGAAAGATTCTGAGTTTATCAAAACTCAGAAGTTTTAAACAAAAAGAAATATAACTTGATCACCCTGTTGACACAGTGGTGGACTAATGGTGCCAGCCGGGCATAGAACCGGAGCACTCCTATCGATTCGGAATATCCAGACACCACTGTCTCCAATATTTGATCCATTCAAAATCATTTCGAATGGCAATTCGTAAATTTCATATTCTTCTTTTCCTGTATGAAAACCACAGATAGCAGCCTCTGCCTCAACTTCCTCGTATAAATATGTGGCAAATACAGCTGCATTCCCTTGCGATATGATTACTTGAAATGAATTTATCTGAAATAAAATCTATTCTTCCACGCGTTTTGAAATCATTATTAATAAGACTATTCAAAAATGTTTGGGAAGAAAATTTTAATAGAAATTCAAAAATGATTTTAAAACACATATATGTACATGTCTGAAAACATTTAGCAAGTTTGATAGTTTAGATCGTGTTTATAGTGAAAAAAGAAAAAAGCTGTAAAGTTGTCGCAAAAAAGTGCTTTTGCAATCAGTAAGAGTATCTAAAAATTATAATACTTACTCTGTCTGTTTCAGGTTGTTCAACTTTCTCGTACGAAACAATAATAAGATTCTTGGCTCGGAAATTTTTAAAATGGAATTTATTTGCAATATTAAGAGACGACCTGGTTAACAGTGGATCACCTGATGATTCTGAAAGGAACAAAGCAGTTGCCAATGTGCAGTATTAGTGAGGAATTTGGGCAAAATTTTCGTATTTTTTGTTTTAAGAGATCAGCGTTACTTAAATGATGGTCTGACTAAGGTAAAAAGTTTTGTATCTGTTAGTATAATAAAGTTTACCTCCAATAAATTTGACTGAAACCTTTCCATTTTCTCCTAAGGTCAGATTACTCATTAGAGGGAAAAAGCCAACGCCAACATCTGGTTTAGCTTTAGACGTTTCTAGAGCTTTGAAGGTTATTCCTCCATTCAGTGTCACCTAAAATGAGTCAAATTTATACACTAAGTGAAAAACCAACTAAAGCAGCTAAAAGTTAAGACCGTCAACTTGCTCTGCCTTTAAATTTTTAGTTTTGGTAAAAGCAAAGAAAAATGAAAGGTATTTTTGGAGAAAAAGGCGAGGAACTTACATAAAGTACTTCATATGTTTCACCAAACAAAGGGATCGGCTCATCCAACTGGTACCTTAAAGCGTCGTCGTCATGTGCAATTGTCAGAGTTGGCTGATCCACTAGGTACAGCTTTGTTTCTTAAAATTGACAAATTTTTTACCTCTGACCTCATAATGCGGTTGAATAAAGGTGCGAGTTAGGAAGCTAAGTGGTTCTGATAAAAATATGAACAACAGGAGTGGTTTTTGTGGAAGACAGATTTCTTACCGCGGCACTCCACACCATTGCCGACAAAACCGTCAATACAAGCACATTTGAAACTGCCAGCCAAATTGGTACATAAAGCTGCCTTGTCACATGGGTCAAATCTGGAAAATTTCTTAGTAGCTTTGCAGGCACAGAATGAAGTGCATCAGCCCAAATACAGTGTCACTCAGACACCATAATGATGAAGTAAACTTAGCTTTTACGCACTAATTTATCTGAGAATTCAGATCAGTTACAAAACTAGGAATCTAGTGCTTATATCGTACTTGCATTCGTCGATGTCGATACACTGCCCAGTATGAGGGTCTTGACCGTATCCTTCAGCACAGTCACACTCATAACCGCCAATCAGATTCTTGCATACACCTTTTTCACCACAATAAAATTCAGCTTTTTCACATTCGTCAACGTCTGAAAAAAAACAAGCTTAATTTATTAGATAATAAGTGGTAAATTTTAGCTCCGAGATGTAACAACACATCGCATACCGACACATCCATGAAGGCTTTCAGGATGACCGACATATCCAGGGGCACAACGGCATTCATATCCTCCGTCTGTGTTTACACATACTGAACTGTTTTTACCATCACCACAGACTACCACTCCTTCGGCACACTCATCCATATCTAAAAATCGTATACATATATATACCTATATATAAAGTAGAAAAAAGCTAAATTTATTCTATTCATTAAATTTTAGGTACAGACACAGTTTTTTTTCGACAGCTTACCAATACAGCGTCCATTTTCATCGTTGATATAGCCTAAATCACACTGGCATCGATACGAACCAGCAGTATTATCACATATCGAATGTGCGCCACATACATTTGGTATTGCCGAGCATTCATTAATGTCCACACACATTTTTCCATTACCTGTCCATCCAGGTTTACATTGGCATACTCCTTCGATACATTCTGCATTTGTTCCACATTGACATTGCGGTATCGGACTACCAAGCAACGGCTTAACAGAACAAGTATTAAAATTCTATTTTATTATATAACAAAAAAAGAAATTTTTATCTGTAAAAAAACTTGATGCCAATAACAAAAAAAAAAAAGTCAAAATTATTTTTAGATATTCTGTTGAAGTTACTGTTTGAATAAATTTTATTAGAACTGTTGTCTGCAACTTACTCTTATTGTAATTGGGCTAAATCGGACAGTCGGAATCGGGAACGTTTCGGTAACCGCAGGTGTAGTAGTAGTAGTCACAGGTGATGCTACTGTAGCATGTGGTATCACTGATGAGATACGTATTTTTGAAACCTTTTTTGTTTCGGGTTTCAGATTTTTTTGTGCTTTTGGTGCTAATTTTGGCTGTAACGATAGTACATTGACAGAATATGTTTCAGTTCCATTTACCAAACTTTCAGTATTATTTTTTGCTCCTGAAAAAGAAAAACATTTTTTTTCACATTATTATTAATAAATGAAAAAGTAATTAATATTTTTAAAAATCGATATGTATTTATTGATGGCTACATTTTTTTTTACAAATCTTATACATTTTTTTTTTTTTCTGCGTATTGTTTTCAATTTTTAATTTATATTTTCTATAAAATTACTGTAAAATTGGAAAAAAAAATTAACAACAGTAATCTGTGTTGACATAAACATTTATTAACAGAAAATACCTTTGCATGTATTTGTGGTATTATCATACTCATAGCAGATACATAAATATGCTCCGGGTGTATTCAAACAGTCGGGTTGTTCTGCTGGGCAAAGGTCAGGTCCTGTGGCGCATTCATCGATATCTGCAAAAATTACAGGACCAATTTGTGCTACAGCAAATAATCAGAACTTTATAAACGGCGGTACATTTGCAAAACAGTTTCACTTGATTGCTTCTTAACTTATACGTTTTTGAAACATTGTTGCAACTGTGTTGTTTGTTAGCAAAAAAAAAAAAGGAGAGAAGACTTATTAAGCTGTACTGTTTATAAAACCAAAAAATTATGCATTATATCTAATAATAATAATAAAGTGTCAACATCTCTTCTTCTTCTTCTTCTTTTTCTTAATTTTTTAACTTTTTTTCACCAAAAATTGCCTACATCTTTTGTACCGCGACTGCGCTGTTGCAAAAAATTTGTAGTTGAGCTAATTATTTATGCACTACAATTGTATTTATCCAATTTATACAATTCTTTCTGATTTTATAACAGTTGAAAAACGACAAATTACTCGGCAATAAAGAAGAAAAAAAAATAGTTCAGATGGGAAAATGAATTTTTTCTTCATAACAGAAAAAGAATTATCTAAATCTTTTTCTTTTTCTCCTATTTTTCTTTTTTCTTAAAGCACATTTTTTAATTTAAGCAAATTATTGTTGAACTGTTTTGCGTATTTTTTAAAATCAGCCAAGGTCATAAAAGCGTTTTTACCTGTCATAATATATCGCCAACAAATTAGCGACGATAACACAACTTTAACTTAACCAAGAAAAACTAAAATTGAAAATAAAAGTTGAATAATGTTTCATATTTTTCAAACAATCTTTTTTTTCTTTCCTTTTTTTTTTTGCACAGTTTATAGTTCAGTAGTAATGGTAATCTTCATCACGTCTTTTTAAGTCTTTTATTCATCACTCCTGAATCCAATACGACTTTTGCAATCGGCGTACAACGATAACCATCAATTTTTACAGGTTAAATAACAGATTCAAAAACTGGCTTCTACATTGTGGCCTAAAGAAGTTTAAAATTCATTATAAGCATAATTTACATACCATCTTCACAGATTGGAGGACCAGTCCATCCAGGACTACATTTAGCGTTCGGACACATACCGGTTTCTGTATTGCAACGTACCCCACCTTCACAGTGGCATCGTCGTACACAGTCTAAACCCCATTCATTGGCGCCACAGGTTTCAATACATTCCATCCCCTTAAAAGATAATTTTATGTCGTGTATTTTTTCCCCCTTCTTCTTCTTCTTCTTCTTCTTCTT